CTGGAGATCAACCAGAATCCACACTCCATTCGATGCTGAGCTTTGGGGAAGGGGCGATGGGGAGAACTGAGATCCCCTGCAATCCCTGGAGAGGCAGTGAAGGGGGATACGGAGGTGGGCGAGGGGTGGTCAGCTAAATCATATCCTGTCTACAAGGACAGTGCCCCAGCGGATGTATAGATCACAGGACAGGGGATTTCATGATGAACCAGGTGGGATTATCAAATTATGACCAGAATCTATTATTCTTCTACAAGATAAGCTAAATCTGCATTTCTCCCAAGGTGAAGGTTTCCTATGGTTATTCATGACTCGTAAGGATGAGAGTATTAATAGAAATGAGACACTCACTAGAATCCAAACAGAAAGGTGGGGTGGACATGGCTTCTTGGCATCCTTGGTTAGTGGGCTGATGAGACCAGTGTTGAGGGGAGGTACCCTCGTGTCAGAGCAGCACCAGGTAAGGTCCCTAGATTTCAGCATCTCTGGCCTCCAAGCCCAGGGACCCACACAATCGACACTTCAAGCAATGTACCTACTGTGTAAGTACCTTACCAACGGGACCAGGTTCCAAAGTGGAGTTTATAAGTGTGATTACTGAGAAATGCAAAGGGCTTTCACATTATCCAAAGGTTCAGTTTAGCAGTTTCAAGGGCTGTTGCCTTTTCACCTCAAGACCGAGACTGGCCATCATAGTAAATTATTTGTGGGCGCATTTCCTTGGAAAATTTTCTCACTTAAATTTGTAAATGCTGGTAGGAGGTTCACTCGCCAACCTCAAGAGAAATCTACTCACTGATGCTGAACTCATTGGATTAATTCAAATGAATGAATCTGGTGTAAGAAGATGGGAAAAACATCTTTCAGACTGAGCATATCTCTAGGTAAAGTTGTTTTATAAGCAAAATACAATGACATTAACACTTTAAGACACAAGAAGGATCAGGGCAAGGTGGTGTCAATGGCATTGTTTCCAACCCCCTGAAATCACCGTGATACACAAACAGATTTACTAGGAAAATATAAAAATGATTTGAGAGAAAATGATGGATATAGAAGAAAGGCAAAGAAGATCCAACATATGCACAATAGAAGCCAACCCTCAAAGCACAATAGAAGCCAACCCTCAAAAACACGAAAGAAAAGGTAGTGCAGAAGAACAAATATAAGCAACCATTATAGAAAACTTTCCTGAAAACAAAAATAATTTGGATCTGTATATTTAAAGGGGACACGATGTTCCTGGGACACATGACCAGAATAGTCAGCTCCAAGGCACGGTCTACTAAAACTATTAGACCTAACAGAATAGAAATCCTCTGGCATAAGGTAAAACATCCAGGTAACTTATATGGCATTAGAATGTTACAGAATACCATGGAGCTGAAACAATGGAGCAAATGGAGCAACAGATACCCGAGAAAGAAAACGTGAGCCAGCCATTTTTTTCTATCCAGCCAAAGTGGCCTTTGTACTACCCTACGCAACTCGCTACCAGGCTCCCATTCTGTTTTCTTTGAAGGACTTTGCACATTCCATTCTTTTTTTTTTTCTTCCCCATTCCACGTTCTTGTTCACTTTTCCCCACGATGAAGGTTGCGTGAGACCAGGACCTTTGCTTTGTTTGCTGCTCAAGCTGCAGCCCTCAGTGGTCAAAGTTTTCATACACAAAAGAACATGCACAGGGACTGTCTTAGTCAGAGCAGGCTGCTGTGACAGAACACAACAGACGGGGTGGCTGGGACAGCAGGTATTTATTTCTCGCAGTTCCGGAGGCTGGGACGTTGGAGATAAAGGTGTCGGTGGATTGGGTGTTTGGCGAGGGCCTGCCTCCTGGTGTAGAGACAACCGTCTTCTCACAGGGTCCTCCTGCGGCCTTTCCTTCGGGTGTTTGTGTGCCGGGGTCTCTCTCTCTTCTCCTCTCCTGAGAGCACCGGTACCATCATGGGAAACCCACCCTCACGTCCTCACCGGACCCTGACCACCTCCCCCAGGCCCCGCCTCCAGTGCACACGGGCCACCAGGCAGCGGCCTGCGAGCATGGGGGGCGGCTCCAGCAGAAGCTCTCCACTTCCTGCGGCTAAAACGAGGCAACTGGCTGAGCCCGGAGTTCCTTGCGCGGCCGTCCTCTGTTCTGTCCCTCAAAGGGGCCGTCTAGTGAGAGCCCAGCTAACCAAACTGACCCCGCCAGGCGCCGTGCCAGGCGGTGGGTTAAAACAAGCACACAAACGCCGTCACGTGCAGGGCCCAGTGCCCGCCCAGTGCTGGGCGGGAAGACGGGGCAGACAATATACAACAGGAGAAGTGGGCTTTTCTCCTACAAATCTCCGACCACATCCTTAACCTCCCGTATCATTCCTCACTCTGGGGTGAAGCTGAGGACTGAAGTCAGGCATACGTGGGAGGGGCAGTGTGTCACACAGAGTGGGTTCCGTTTATTGGGAGGCATCCCTTTGTAACTGATTTTTTCCCCCTTCTTTTTTTTTAAAAAAAATATATTTTTATTGATTTTATTTTATTTTTTTTACAGAGAGGAAGTGAGAGGGATAGTCAGGAACATCGATGAGAGAGAATCATCAATCAGCTGCCTCTTGGACACCCCGCACTGGGGATGTGCCCGCAACCAAGGAACATGCCTTTGACCGGAATCCAGCCCGGGTCCTTTCAGTCCACAGGCCGATGCTCTATCCTCTGAGCCAAACTGGCTTCGGCTCCCCCTCTTTTTTTTAGAGACAGAGAGGAAGACGGAAGGAGAGACGGAAACATCAGTGAGAGAGAAACTTCAATCAGCTGCCTCCTGCACGCCCCCTACTGGAGTTGAGCCCACAACCTGGGAATGCACCCTGACCAGGAACCGAAGCTCTTGGTACAATACATGGGACAGATGCTCGACCAGCTGAGCCACACTGGCCAGGCAGGAGGCATCCCTTTGTAATATGGGGGGGGAGGTGGAGGTGGGGCTGCTTACCTGCTCAGAGGGAGAGGAGGGACAGCTATCTTGAGGAGGAAGCAGGAGGGACCGAGCACAGGGCGGCTGGGCTGTGGCTGCAGGTCATAGGAGTGGGAAAGTGACTCTGGTTGGTCTTGGGAGGCCAGGGACCGTTTCAGAGCAGAGAACCTCCTGCCAGGATTGCGAGTGGCCATGCCAGGACAGCCTGGTGAGTGCCAGCGCAGGAGACGGCTGGCTGGGCGGCAGGGGGAGGGGGAGGCCAGGCAGACGGGGTCTTGAATACCAGGAATTGCTGACCAAGACTCTGAAGTGACTTATTCCAGGGATTCTCAGCTGGAAGGACCCGGGGTTTTGAATAGCGGAATTACATGGGAAAAAATCCAGCCTCATCTCCAAAGTGAAAGAATACGCTTCCTCGTGGGTACTCTTCCCCTTCCCACCTCCGATTTGGTGACTGACGTTGTTGCTCGGGTACCTCGGGCCAGGACAAAAGCTGCCTCCGCACAAAGTTAGATGAGTTTATTTAATCGATCAGTTTAAATTACAAAGTGTTCATGCTCCATACAACCTCATAACGTCTAGGAGTGTGGGTGCCTATAAAAGGGGGGACTTCCAGCCTCCAGGGGGGCTCGTCGGCCTGGCCTCCTGTGAGGTCAGGGGCTGTGGACGCTTGACCCGCAAGCGTCCGAGTGCTGAGCACGGAGCCCGGCTCCTCCCAGGCCTTCCCATGAGCGGCGTGGACCTGCGCGGCAGGTGGGACCTTTGTAGGCAGGGCCGTGAGCAGGCACACGTACATGCCACGGGAGAGCCGGCTCAGGGGCTCGGGGCCGGCCTGGGCTCAGGCATGTAGGCCCCGCTGCCTCGCAGCCAGAGGTGCGCAGAGCAGAGGGAGGAGGAGGGGAAGCAGCCCCGGGGGAGCACAGGACAGGAGTGGCTGGGAAGGGAGGGACAGAGAGAGCACGGGGCCCCAGGCAGCGGAGGACGGGGTTCAGGCAGGGCCTGGCACTTGCAGCGGCGCCCTCTCTGGCCAATCCGCTGGGGGGGGGGGGGGCAGGGGCACAGGACAAGGGGCTGGTAAAAAGGTTCACAGAAGCATGGACACCCCTGCAGGCCAGGGGACTGCGGCTCGGGGCGTGGGAACCGCAGCACCTGCGACAAAGCAAGGACAGAGAAGACAGTGTAAGAGACTCACTCCAGACCCAGTCACTACCTCTCAGCATGACCATATGGCTGGTCTCATTCTCGGTTCTTACAAGTGTATTTCCTGTATCACATGTTCTCACGCATCTAGGGGAAATGATGAGCAACAGAGACTGATGAACAAAATCAGACCTGGAGACAGGGAAGCATCGATCAGTCTGTCAAACCTCAGAGGGAAGGGGGGGGGGGGGGGGGGGGGCAGGGAGGGGAGATCAACCAAAGGCCTTGTGTGCATGCATATAGGCCTAACCATTGGTCACGGACAACAGGGGGGTGGGGGCATGTGTGGGGAGGGGTTTGAGGTGAGAATGAGGGGATGAGGACAATTATGTGATACCATAATCAATAAAAAAATCAAAAGAAAAAATGAAGTAAAAGAAAAAAAAAGAAGACAGAGTCAAAGGCAAAGCAACCATCTGGTGGGGGGAGGGGCGCAAGAGGGGGACATGCTGCAGGGCAGTGGGGGCGGAGCTGCTGGGGCCAGTCTTGCTGGCTGCACAGCATGCAGGGCTGGACCCCAGAGGCGTGGCCGAAGCGGGGTCTGAGCCCGGCGGATCATACAGGGGCAGGCCGCTTGGTGTCAGACCTGGGTGTGGTGCCTGCTTCTGCGACCTGGACGAGCCACGTGCCTCCCCCACAGGCAGCTGTGCAGCCTCCACACCCAGCAGCCAAGGGGCGTCTCCCGTCGCTAAGGGGGCTGCTGAGAAATGGCTGCTCCCAAGGGAATGGGGAGAGAGCAAGGGTGCCCACCCCGGGGCCCTCGGAGGGCAGCGGAGTTGGGGGGGGAGGGCGCCCCTCCTTTCTGACTCGGGTGCCAGGCCCCATAGGTGCTCACCCCGCGTGGCTCATGCTACGGGTCTGGCAGCTGCTCCAGGACCATGTCCTCGACGCCGTTGATCTGCGGAGAGAGGAGAAGGGACTCAGAGGCGCGGCCAGGTCTCCTCCACCCCGGCTGCTGGCTGGCCGCCCCGCCCCGCCCCATGGAGCAGCAGGCAGGCACCCCTCCCACCACCCTCCACCCAGGGGTGCCCACCCAAAGGCCCCCCTGGGCCCAGGGGACTTCGGGGAGAGACTCCAGAAGGCAGTCTGGCCGTTCAGTCCTAACTCCTCTCTAGCCTGACCCTTCACCAACCTGCGGTGGTAAACCCCTCCCCTTCTTTTGGTTGGTTTGGTTTTTGGGGCAGACGGGCAGGCCTGGGGCCCGGAGCAGGGCCCGGGAGGGGTGGGGAGGGGAGCAGGTGCCAGGAGGGGTGCACGCTTGCCTCGATGTGGTACACAATGCGCCAGAAGCCGGAGTCGGAGGAGCGGTACCGCCTGCCAGGGTAGAGCTGCCACATGAGGGGCAGCCGGCTGGGGGGCAGCCGGCTGGGCTGCAGGGCCTCCCCGCGGGAGACCTCGATCTGGCGCAGGAGGACTTGCAGGCTGGTCTCTGTCTGGAGAGAAGAGCAGAGCGGGCACACCTTTAGGCGCCTCTGGGTCAGGGGCCCCCGAGGTGCTGGGTACCAGGCTCCAGACGGCCAGCCCCCAGCCCCGCACAGTCCTCTCAGGCACCTGCTGGGCCGGTAAGACCCCAGCCAGGGGCACCGAGGCCCACTTCTTCCCGGCAAGCCTGGAGTGGCCAGGGCAGGCGTGGGGCCCGAGCCGCCTTCCCCTTGCGGTTTGGTGCCTGTGTCAGCGGATGTGGGGCTTAGACTTTCTTTGTCCTTCGCCTCCTTTTAAACAAGAGACTCCAGGCCCGGGGATGCGGATGGACCGCTTTAGCCACCCCCAGCACTGCCCCTCCATCGCCATCTCCCACCTGGACCACTGGGGCACTTCCTGGCTCACCACCTGTCTGACATGTGCCCCACAGTGTCAGTCCCTGGCACCGCAGCCGGGGGGGAGGGCAGGGAGGGGGGATCCAAAAAACACACCATGCCTCTTCCTGCCCCACACTCTCCCATGCTCTCCCACTGCGGGCGGAACGAGCTGGAATCCCGGCTGTGGTCCCCAGGCCCACGGAGCCAGCCCATCTCCTTCCCCTCCCACTGCCTGTCCACACCTCCTCTCCGTCCCGGCCACGCGGGCCTCCTCACTGCAGGGGGCGCTGGCACCCGCTGTCCTCTGCCAGGAACATCCTCCCTGAGCTACGCGGCCAGGGTGGGGAACGTCCTAATACGTATGGCCCTGCCAAGGCACCGGGAAGTTAATGAAACGTCTGACCACTTATGGCAGGCTCATTTTAAAGTCGGTCATTTTGTGGACATTACCCAGAACTACAGGAAAGTCGACTGACTGGAAATTCTACAATGAGAAGCAAGGAGAAAACCAGAAGGAAGCGTGGAGGAGCTGGAAAAGCCTAAGGTACGGAGACACGCGGTGCGCGGAGAGGACGGAGGCTGAGTGCCTAGCTGGCGTTCCCTAGTGGGAAGGATATAAAAGTTCCAACTGTGCTGGGCCCCAGTTCTGACTGCTCTGAACCCCAGTTCTAGGCCAGATCCCGGGGACCCAGGCTCATCCATAGGGAGCCGGGCTGTAAGGCGGAACCCTGGGGGAGCAGCGAAAGGAGGTCCCGGAGGCGCGCACACTGCCCGCAGAGAAGGGACGGTTGGCTGTGCTGTGGGATTGCCCTGACAGGAAGGAGACAAAAGCTCCGGACTGCTCTGAATGCCACCTCCAACTCCACTTCCAACTGAACTGAACCCCAATACCGAGCTCATTGGGGGAGAGGCTAGACTGTTGGGTAGCAGGCGAAAATCGAGGGCACCTTTCTCTCAGAGTTGCTTTCAGCGAGTACTGAAGGACCCTGAGACTCAGGAGCCGCATAGGGCGGGGCTGACAGAAGCCAAGGCTGTAGGCTCCACCCTAAAACCCTGCCCCATCAGGGAAGCTGAGAACATGTCGAGATGAAATAGATCACAAACGAAAGAAATGGAGGACAAAATGCAACTGGATATAGAGTTCAAATCTACGCTTATAAGGTTTTTCAAGAATTTCCTAGAAAAGATAGATAAGACCTATGAGGATATGAAAACGAATCAACTAGAATTAATAAGGAATCAACAAGAAATGATAAGGGATCAACAAGGAATAAAGAATACATTGTCTGAAATAAAAAATATTATACATAGTCCTAAAAACAGAATGAAAGATCACAAGAATCAAGTCAAAGATTTGGAACATAAAGAGCCAGAAGACACTCCTCTGCAGAAGCTAGAAGGCAAGAGAATCCAGAAAATTGAAGATAATATAAGAAACCTCTGGGACAACTTCAAGCGAACCAACATCAGAATTATGGGGGTCCCAGAAGATGAGAGCAAGATATCGAAAACATATTGAAAGAAATAGTGACAGAAAACTTCCCCCACCTGGTGAAAGAATTAGACTTACAAGTCCAGGAAGCACACAGAACTCCAAACAAAAGGAACCCAAAGAGGACCACACCAAGACAAATCATAATTAAAATTCCAAGAGCAAAAGACAAAAAGAGAACATTAAAAGCAGCAAGAGCAAAGCAGGTAGTTACCTAAAAAGGAGCACCCATACGATTGTCAGCTGATTTCTCAACAGAAACCATGCAGGCCAGACGGGAATGGCAAGAAATAATCAAGGTGATGAATAGTAAGAACCTACAGCCAAAGATAATCTACCCAGCAAAGCTATCACTCAGAATCGAAGGTCAGATAAAGAGCTTCACTAATAAAAAAAAGCTAAAGGAGTTCATCAACACCAAACCAGAATTATATGTATTGCTGAAGGGAGTTCTTTCAGAAGAGAAAGTAAATAAAGATAAAAATTATGAACAACAAATACATAACTATCAACAAGTGGATCTAAAAACCAAGGAAATTAAAAAAAAAATCTGATGAACAATATTAACTGTTGAATATAATAGAATCAGAGGTATGGAAGGGGAGTGAACTGACAATTCTTGGGGAAAAGGGGAGAGGGGGATGTGGGAAGAGACTGAACATAAACTGTGCACCTATGGATGAGGACAATGGGGGTGGAAAAAGGGCAGAGGGTGGGGTGGGAACCTGGTGGAGGAGAGCAATGGGGGGGGAAGGAACATTTGTAATAATATGAACAATAAAAATTTATTAAAAAAATAAAAATAAACCTAAATAAATAAATAAATAAATGAGGTCAGTCGTTTTGTACGGCCTGCAAACCCTATATAATAAGAGAGGAATATGTGAGTTATCCATACACCGTGAGGCATAACCACTGACCGCATAACAACCGGATCATGAATCTGTAAGAGGGTGGGGCAGCGAACTACAAGCGGGAGGCGGAGAGCTACAGGAGGGGCAGCAAGCTATGGGGGGAGGCGGCGAGGGGAGCTACTGAGGGTGAGGCAGCGGCGGAGAGCTGCAGGGGGGCGGCAGTGACCGATGGCGCACAGATCTGCGCAGCGCTACTAGTGATGTTATAACTATCTAAACAGCCCTTGGCAGAAGAACGGGTCCCCTGGCTCACACCTTCCTTTCAGGCAGGGATCTGCTGAAATGCATCTTTAGACATAAAGCTAGAGTTCATTGCAGGAAGATTCCTGCAAGAACAGGGCTTCCTGTGAAGTGAAGCCCACTGACCCCACAGGCTTTCCCTCCCACTGCTGCCGCCGCCCTCGCCCTGCTTTCTGTTTTCCCTCACTCTTCCTTGCACACTGTCTTCAGTCTTTGCTCTGTGCCTGCATATGCAAATGAACCACCATCTTTGTTGGGTTAATTTGCATAATCACTCTTGATTGGCTGGTGGGTGTAGCAGAGTGATGGTTAATTTGCATGTTTCTCTTTTATTAGTATAGATTGCCTAAGCCTGTGGCCAGCAAACTGTAACTCACGAGCCACATGCGGCTCATCCATAAAATGCCAGTGCCTGGGTGAGTATATTTAAAAGAAGTGGTGTTAGAAGTAGTTTAAAAATGTGGCTCTCAAAAGAAATTTCAATAGTTGTACTGTTGATATTTGGCTCTGTGGAAAGATGAGTTTGCCGACCACTGGCCTCAGTGACTGGCAGATAGGCCGGTAGCTGTGACGCACACTGACAGCAGGGGCAGAAGCTCAACGCAGGAGCTGCTGAGCTGTGGTCACTCGGCAGCAGCAGTTCTCAGGTGACACACCCGGAACCAGAAAGGAGGGAGCCGATTCTGGGGTTTCCATGTCACCTGAGAACTGCCCTCTCACAATCCAGGCCCCCTCAGGGGATGTCAGAGATCTGGTGTCAGCCCAGTCCACACCGGCCAGGCCAAGGGACCCCACCAGAGCACGACTCTGTGCCCCGGGCCTCTAGTGTCTTCTAAAGGCGATTTCAGCAAAATCCAATTCTATGGTAGACATCAGGGGCATCTCACGCAGAGTCCTAAAAGGGTTAAATACAGTGCCGGGCAAAACACGACAGGCAGATGCAAATCCACACTGTCCAAGGTCTCACTGAAGACCCACTCCCCGCTGGCTGCTGCCTCTCATCTCACTCCCATTCACCCGCACACCGACCACCGGCCTCCATTCCCCGCACACTGACCACCGGCCTCCATTCCCCGCACACCGACCACCGACCACCAGCCTCCGTTCCCCCGCACACCAACCACCGGCCTCTGTTCCCCCGCACACTGATCACCGGCCTCTGTTCCCTGCACACCGACCACCGGCCTCCATTCCCCGCACACCGACCACCGGCCTCCATTCCCCGCACACCAACCACCGACCACCAGCCTCCATTCCCCGCACACCAACCACCGGCCTCTGTTCCCCCGCACACCGATCACCGGCCTCTGTTCCCTGCACACCAACCACCGGCCTCTATTCCCTGCACACCGACCACCGGCCTCTGTTCCCCGCACACCGACCACCGGCCTCCATTCCCCGCACACCGACCACCAACCACCAGCCTCGGTTCCCCCGCACACCGACCACCGGCCTCCATTCCCCACACACTGACCACCGGCCTCCATTCCCCGCACACCGATCACCGGCCTCTGTTCCCTGCACACCAACCACCGGCCTCTGTTCCCCCGCACACCGATCACCGGCCTCTGTTCCCTGCACACCAACCACCGGCCTCTATTCCCTGCACACCAACCACCGGCCTCTGTTCCCCCGCACACCGATCACCGGCCTCTGTTCCCTGCACACTGACCACCAGCCTCCATTCCCTGCACACCAACCACCGACCACCGGCCTCCATGGTCTGGGGTCCTTCTGACCCTCAGGACAATGCCAGCTTCACCAGGAGGGGGCTTCTGTCACACTCACTGCCACCCCTCGCCCAGCATCATGCTTGGCATAGGCACTGGGCACGCTGGCCCAGCCAGCATGGCTCAGTAGTTGAGGGTTGACCTTTGAACCAGGGGGTCATGGGTTCGTTTCCTGGACAGGGCACATGCCCAGATTTGCAGGCTCAGTCCCCAATAGGGTGTGTGCAGGAGGCAGCCGATCCATGATCCTCTCTCATCATCAATGTTTCTATCTCTCACTCCCTTCCTCTCTGAAGTCAATAAAAATATATTTAAACACACACACACACACACACACACACACACTTTTTAGGCACTCTTTTTTGTTCAATGACTATTTTTCCAAAGTGGAAATAGTTTTTTAAAACTTTTCTGTCTGTGAAATAATTGAAAACTCACTGTTAAGTAATTCAGTCCTAATTGGTTTGGCTTAGTAGATAGAGCATTGGCCTGCGGACTGAAGGGTCCCGGGTTCGATTCCGGTCAAGGGCATGTACCTTGGTTGTGGGCACATCCCCAGTAGGGTGTGTGCAGGAGGCAGCTGATCAATGTTTCTCTCTCATCGACGAAGACATGTCTCTTATCTCTCTCACTTCCTCTCTATTAAAAAAATCAATAAAATATATTTTTTAAAAAGAGAAGTAATTCAGCTCATCCTGCAAGGTCTGAGTGTGGAAATCACTGTTCTTACTACATACATCCTTAGTGTGTAGTCTCCAGTGTCCTCCCGCCATGGTCAGTTTGCCTATCACCTTTGGTGTGTTGCTTTAAGTAAACGTTTACATATTAAGAATACAGGGACCCCATCCTTTGGCCAGCCAGTAGCAAGTCCTGACCCATGGTTTGCTAATGGGTCGTTTTGTGCAGAATTGATAACGAGTATGTGGAAAAACTCTGCTCTGTGGTATTGGTGCCATGATAAAGATATTCCCCAGCTAGAGATTTTAAAAGATAATCCACTTCAATTTTCTTCAAACACTTGCATTTTAAAAAGTAAATGTTTAGCTTGATTTTTTAAGGTATGTATATTTTGGAAATTTAAATGACACTAAAGATGCAAATTTAGATGGAGGTCAAGAGCCTCAAGTGCCAACCTCATTACCTCACCAGCAAGCAGCACTTCTTTCCACAGATTCACATTTACATTACAGATGGACAGACTTACATTACCCCGCTGCCTTAGTTTCCTCCTCCGTAACATGGGGACACAGTCCCCATCAATACCTTTTTTATTTTTAAAATTTTTTTTAAAGTTTTTAGGTTTTTAAAAAATATATATATTTTATTGATTTTTTTTTTTTTAACAGAGAAGAAGAGAGGAATAGAGAATTAGAAACATCAATGAGAGAGAATCATTGATCAACTGCCTCTTGCATACCCCCTACTGGGGATGTGCTTGCAACCAAGGTACATGCCCTTGACCGGAATCAAACCTGGGACCTTTCAGTCCACAGGCTGACGCTATCCAATGAGCCCAACTGGTTTCAGTATCAATACCTTTTTGTTGTTTGCTAAACTATGACATAAATGGCCCAATATTACACATTTGAACTTGGCTTTCATACATTCATTTTACTTCAGTTTACATATGGAAGGAGTTTCGGCATTTTTCACCCAAGTTTCTTTGAGAAAACCCTGGTGGAAAATATTGTAAGAGACTTCTTTTGTTTGTTAATCCTCACCTGAGGCCATTTTCCCCAGAGTGGAAGCGGGAGGGGGGAGAGACGCACGGATTGGCTCCTCCCACACATCCCAACCCTGCAGCCCAGGCACCGGCCGTTGACCAGGAATTTAACCCGAGACCCCTTGGCTAGCAGACTGGCGCTCTAACCACCTCACCACACCGGCCAGAATGAGATATATTCCTTTAAGAAACATTAACATTAACTGAAGTTCCGTCTTAAGTCATCACACATAAAGCATCGCTTCGGCACCGGCCTTTATAGGACCATCCTCTCTGCACACCTTCGTGGGGTTTGCTTTTCCCAAAGCATAAAGGGCGAATGAAATATCCCAAACTCTGGGGCGGGGGGTCCCTAACTCGGCTGACCATGTCTGTGGAGGGGTCCCTTTAAAACACAGATTTCCGGGGCTCCCCTGGGCAGACTCCGATGATGGGCCACGTGTGTGAATGCGTTAGAGCAGCGTTCTCACCCTTTCCCATCCCGCGGCCCACAAACCCCGCACTGACACTGTGCGGCTCATGAACACACATTCTGCCGACCGGACAGAGAAAGGAGGGTATAGTTTCCACCGTCCGCAGGGACGGCATCGCTGAGCCGGCTGCTGTCACCCCGACAATCTGAGGGCAGAGGCCGCGCCCCCGCACTGGGTCGGGGCGCGCGTTCACCGCTCTGGCGGCGCCCGTGTGCGCGGGCCCGGCTGGAAACCGCCGCTTTAGGCGTCATTCCCATTCACAGGTGGGTCTGGAGCCCAGAGCACTCCGCTTTCCCCCAGGATCACAACAGTCACGCACTTCAGAGGCGCGGGGCCCCCATCCCCTGGCCAGCACCCCGTTTCCCACGCTCTGCCCCGCCCGGGAGCGCGCCTCGCCCCAGAGCCCAGTGGCTCACAGGGTTCCACCTGGGAGCCCGCAGCCCGCAGCCCGCCCCGCCTCCCGCCCGCTGCACCGGGCTCCGGGGGTGGGGGTGGCTGCACCGGGCTCCGGGAGTGGGAGGGGGGCGGGAACCGCCTGGGGCGTCCCTGGCACCAGGCCTGGTGGGGTGGGGGGTGGGGGGGAAAGGGGGTGCTGCCACCCGCCGCCCCGCTGCCTGAGCCCAGGCGCCTCACCTCGATGGTGATGGACAGCCAGGTGCGGTCCATCTCGTCCACGTACACGTTGGGCCGCCAGATCCACAGGTGGTCGGGGTGCAGGCTCCGGCTCACCGTGAACGGGCACGCGCCCCCCGCGGCAGCCCCGCCGCCCGTGGCAGCCCCGCCGCTCATGGCACCTCCGCGGTCCAGGGAGCGGGAGCGGGAGCTGGAGCTGGAGCTGGAGCTGGAGCTGGAGCTGGAGCTGGAGCTGGAGCAGCAGGAGGAGGAGGAGCAGCAGGAGCAGGAGCAGGAGGAGGAGCAGCAGGAGCAGGAGCAGGAGCAAGAGCAGGAGCAGCACTGCAGCCTGGCAAAGCCTCCTGCTTGTGGCCTGGGCGCGGGCCGAGGCTTTATAGCGGGATGGGCTCGGGCGCCCCCCAGCGGCAGGGCGGAGGAGGGCGGGGCGCGGGACAGTTAAGGCTGGGTGCAGGTGGGGCAGCAGCGGGGTCCTGAGCGCTGCACCCCGACCTCATTGCCCACGGGGACCCTGGCAGCACCCAGAAGCACAGGGTGAGCCCCCAACCCAGGACTTCCTCAGCCCAGCAGCCAGCTCGCCCTCTGCACCCACCCTCCCTGAGGGCGCGGTGCCCCTTCATCCGCCTCTGGGACCCCACTGTCTGAGTCAGCCACTGTGTATGGCCCGCCAAGCCACACCCCAGACCGGGACTCCCAGCCTCTGCTTGGAACGCCTAGTCCACACCAGCCCCCCGAGAGCCAGCACCCTCCCCCCACCCCCTTTTGGGGATCAGGAGAGACCTGGCCAGCCTGCACCAGACCCAGCTCGGGACATCACCTCCAGCCCAGCCTGCAGGTGTGGGCGTCAGAGTCCTTTTCCTTGGCAAAGCGCACCACCAAGCCCCCCCACACCCAGGGCTGCCTGTTCCCCGCGTTGCTGGGTCATCCCAGAGCAGTTGTGAAAGCGGGTGGTGTGGAAACATGGCCTTCTCTTCACTGGCTTTGAATTCATGAGTGAAAACATTGCACAGAACACACACTTCAAAGAAAACCCTCCTCTGCGCCCCCCAGACCAGCGAGACCAGAGGGACTGAAAAGTCCAGGGTTACTTGACCGAAATGTCGCCCTGTGAATTACACAAACAAGGAAACAATGCCCCCTCGTTAGCCAGTGACGCGGGCTCGTTAAGGCAATTAAGCAAATAAAGACTGAGGGGAACCTCGTAAACCAGCCCCAGCCTCATCACGCCCACTCAGGCCTGGAGCCTCTGGCGCCTCTACTTCCAGCTCCTTCCTGTCCCCCTGAGGAGGCCGCGGGGACATAGCCTGGTCTCTGCAAGGCCCTGAGAGGGAAAAGGAGCCGCAGAGCTGGTCTCGGCCAGCAGAGGCAGGTCTGGGCTCTCCGCCTGCCCAGACCGTCCAGGACCCCGGAGGCTCTGCCTGGCCCCCGTGATGGAGATGTAATTGGATTCACCAGGGGCGTCAACTAGGAAGCAAATGCCAAGTAAAGCTTGGAGTGGGGGGAGGAGACACCAGCCCAGCAGAGCGTTCCCCAGCCTAGCCCCTGGGGCTGGTACTTAACAACATTCACGTTTGTGGCTTTCACGCTGGTTTCCTTGTTGATGGCTCTTAACTCCAGACCCAGAGAGCCAGAGGGATGCGCTCTGCAGGCTGGGCAAGCCTCAGCCCTGAGTCTGAGAACGGGAGTGCCAGTCCAGCTTAGACAGCCCTGCTGGGAGGGCCTCGTGTGACCAGGGCAGGGCCACCCAGGAGCCACGGGGCCACTGACCCAGCCACATCCGTGGCTCCGGGACCCGAGCTCCTGCACCTGCCCTGCTTTCCTAAGGAGGCCGCAGAGGAACAAGTAACGGGGCAAGAACCAGGCCGTTAGGGGGCCACGCTCCTGAATGTTCTGGGAACGTGACCCCGCCTTTGGAGGAACAATATTCTCTGCAGTTTCACAGAGACTGCGTCGTTCTTGTGGAGGATTTAGGAGATCGTGTGTGTGTGTGTGGGGGGGGGGGGGGTTTCAGGAACGGCCAGTGAAGGAGGATGGCGGGGTTCGTGGGGCAGCTTCTGTGGAGGCCGGAGCCTTCCCCATGGGAGGGAGAACGGTGCGGTGTGACCTCAGACAGCCTCTCCAGCGGGGCGTCCGCCTTCCCAGGCCCCAGGGCCTCTGGGCCTCGCGTGGAGCTGTCTGTTCCTCCCGCCCGGGTCAGTCCCAGGGCACCTCGCTCGGCTGTCTTGCTTAGAAAGTACCGCAAAGCAGTTCTTTGGACTCGCTTTACGAACAGAACCGTTAGCTGGCACTTTGATGCCTGCCTCGGCTCCAGTTCGGACTCAGACCCAGGACACCTGCCCTCCTTGGCTGTTGCCACACGTTTGTCATGAATGGCCCACGCCCAGGGCTCTGAGCCGGAATCTGACCCAGCAGCCTCTGGCCTCCCATAGCACTGCCTCGTGGGAGGGGGGACGGTTAGCCGGAGGGATGGCTCAGCTCCCTCAGGAGAGCCGCTGGCTCTGAGCAGAGGGGTTCGGCTGTCAGGACCCCAGGGGAATTCTTCGGGGAGAGGAAGCCACCCCATCAGCTGGTTCCAGAGAAGGGGCTGTGAGTCCCGCCATGAGTGTGAGCCGGAGCCTGCTGACCTCGGCCCACGGCATCACCCAGAGCTCTGAGAACCGGAACCTCCAGCCCCCGGGCCTCCCGAGGCAGAATCCGCATGGTCACAAGGTCCCCGTGTGGGTGGCTCTGTGGCTGCTGGTCTGCAGGGCGGATCAGGAGGGGAGAGCTGCCTGAGCCGCTGCCTCCCACCAGTGCCCTCTGGGTTTTCCTACGGGACACAGAGCTGAGTGAGTGTTGGTATCATTTAGTTCCAGGTTATCTATCTTCTGTTAAAAGCACTTCTCATATGCAAAGTGTTTTCCTCTTAAAAGACAATCACGGTCTGGGTGCCACAGTGGCCCTGAGGGCTCAGCAGGTGGAGGCACCCTGGCTGCTCACCGGGCCACCTGGGAAGCCCGTCTGAAGCACCGGTGCCCCGGTCACCGACCAGCGAGCCCCGAATCGAATCGCCGGGATGGAGCTGAGGCGTGGGCAGCACCTTTCTTTAAAGGGGCTCCTCAGTGGTTCACTGAGCAGCCTGGCTGAGGACCGATTCTCTGAGATCTGAATCTGTGTTTGAGGCGGAACAAGAGCTATCAGACGAAATGGCTACGGGAGTGCCGGAGCTCCTCCTGCCGCCAGCTCTCACGGGAAACTCCCCGCCCCGCGCCCGCACGGCGCTGCGTCCCCAGCGCTCACGTTTCATTTGCTGCGACCCGTCTTTTGCCCTCAGAGGCCAGTGACCCGGGCTGTAGGAGGGTGAGGGTCCGAGATCCTGCCCACACAGGAACTCTAATGCAGAGAGAGATGCGGAGGCTTCCAAGCAGCCGCGGAGAGCGGTTTTCCTTATTCCTGGACCTGGGCCGTCGTTGAGGTCCTTCGGGCTGGTGGTCAGGGGAGCTCAGGGTAGAAGGGACGCCACAGCTTTTCTCCCAAGGGATGGAGGCTCCTCTCTCGAGGAAGAAAGTATCTGGGACACGGGTATTGTCCTCAAACTGGGGACTGATCCTGGCTTTACCCGCTGAGTCACAACTCTCTCCCTCTCTCTCTCCCTCTCTCTCCCTCTCTCTCTCCCTCTCTCTCCCTCTCTCTCTCCCTCTCTCTCTCTCTCTCTCTCTCAACGTAACGAAGTTTCCATGTTTATATCCTGGGTCGGACCCTAGTGGTGGTGGGGCAGAAATAGAATATTGGGGACCAGCTGATTGTCAGTGTCAGTCAGCTCTGTTAACCGTGGTGGTTGTGTTCTGGTTAAAGAAGGCACGTGCTATCCCGGCGGCTGGGAGCTCACCTGGAGGCAGCGCTTCCCCCACCTGGGGCCGCCGTCATCGGGGGAAGATGGACAACCTGCTGCACAAACCAGAGTCCCCAGCCCTTTGAGGGCCCCAGCCTTTGCACGCCTGCAGGCCTTGGCCAATCTCCAGCCCCCTTCCCTGTAAACTGCCCATTCTCACCCCTTAGCCCGCTCCCCCAGGCAGTCTCCGTCCTCCTACCCAATATGCAGCTGCCTCCTGGGGAGGGGCAGAGCAGACGTTTGTGGGTGGCCTGCTGCTCTCCGTGCTGCCGCAGGATTGGGATAAACGCTCATGCAGGATTCAGCCCTGTCCCTGCCGAAGTGACTTTGGTAGTGACAGGCAGCCGGGACCCACTGGCCGCCAGTGATAGCTGCATCTTAATTTTTCCAAATATTTCAGCCAGCCTCCCAAACACTAGTGAGTACCTTATGTGTCCACGTAGGATTTCTGCCACCGCCACTATGGAATACCAAGCTCCTGTGTGGAAACGGGTCTGTTCTGGGCTCGGTTCTCACCCATTAGTGTGCCACTGTGCTAAAACCACGCTGTAACAGATTGTGAGTTTGAATTGAGATACTTGGTAGGGTAGGGCTCTCTTTTTGTTTCTTTTCAAAATTGTGCTCTCTTGCATCTCTGAATTTTTTGTTAATACTTTAGGGATTTGGGGTATTTCACTGAATTTGTATAGTTTAGGAAAACCCTTTTTATCCTATATAAGAAAAGCGTAATATGCAAATGGACCAAATGGCAGAACAACCGGTCACTATGACACGCACTGACCACCAGGGGGCAGATGCTCAATGCGGGAGCTGCCCCCAGCCCGCAGGCCCCAGGCCAGCCAAGGCGGGTGCCAGTGGGGAAAGGGGTATCCCTGATCACCCCACCAGTCACACCTCAGAGGGAGGCGACTGGCGATGATGGCAGGGGTCAGGACCAGTGAGAGAGTGATGCCAGGCCCGCCAAGGCCGGTGCCAGAGGGGGCTCCCTGATCGCCCTGCCGGTCACCCCCTAGATCAGCCCTGACTGCCTAGGAACCATACCCATGCATGAATTCTGTGCACTGCGCCTCCTGTGCTTTAATAATATTTTATAACTTTCCCCATAAAAGCATTGCATATCTTGTTCACCTTACTTCTAGCATTTTTATAGTTTTGCTGCTTTTGTGAATGGAATTTTTTTTAATGCTACTTCCTGGCATACAGCAAGGCTATTGAACACTGGTATTGGCTGTGTACCCTGCATCCTTCTAACTCATATTCGTTTTAATGGTTGGTTTATCTAAAAACG